GCTTGGGCCGTAAGGGGTCCCTCCAGGAGTCTGCACACTCCCAGTGAGCGCGGGTACCCATTGTGATGTGAGACTGAGCCCGAGGGCTGGTATTGTTCTATGTGAATGCTCGAGGGTCTGGTACTGTTCTGAAATATTGCCCGAGGGGCGAATTTGTTGATACTGTGCCCGAGGGGCGAACCTTTATGTGGTTATTTTTCTTAATTGACTGTCAATTACATGCTTAATCATTGAAAAGGCTTTTCATGAAACTACATTTGAGATAAATAATTTTACCTATCTTTCACTGATTCACTGATTTTACTTGGTTTTACTGCTTCATTATAGAATGTTTTGCGCCTTACGTGATTTCTTGCTTTCAGTCTTTATTTACATTTGTTACTCACTGAGTTGGAGTACTTACTTTACTCCCTGCATCCCTGTGTGCAGATTCAGGCGCTGCTGATCCTGCCAGTGCGAGTTGAGAGCTCCCGGCGGACATTCGGAGTTCACGAGGTAGCTGCTTGACGTCCGCATACCCGTGTTTCTCCCTCTTTATTATTTCTATCTCATATCAGACTTTTGTACTAGTTGTAGACCTTTCAGACTTGTATTAGGTTTTATATATGCTCATGACTAGTGACACCCCGGTTAGAGCTGTGTTGGGTTGTTCTTCCGCGTATTTATGATATTATATGCTACTTTGGATTATCTATTCATGTTTAGACTGTTTCTAAATGCTAAATTGTTAATAATTGGAAAAATAGAAAGTGTCGGCTGATCATGTCTTCACGAGAGGCGTCATCACGACCGGGTCCGGGTTTAGGGTCGTGACAATAAATATAAAAATCTTAATAACTATAATTGTAGTTAATTTATAATTTATAAATATTAGTATATTAATTAGATGACTATTCTACCTAAGTGTGAATTCTATTTTTAAAGGATAAAAAAAGTGGATGATATTTTCCTTCGTGCTTTTAATATAACTAGTCTTAGAATACACATTTTGTGTGTGTGCCTATATCAATGAGTTCATAACTTAAAAAAGTCACGCAAGTATTATTTGATAATTTATTTGAGTTATATAGAATTATAAAATAAATATTAAAGAAAAGTTTTTTTGAAAATGATGAATATTATTCCCAAAGATCTAACTAACTCAAAAAATGAAAAAAATCTCGTCTTACAGATGTTTTCAAATACGTTACTGTAATTTATGAGGACTCATATTGTCATTTCTGACCTAATAATGAAATTAAAAAATAAAATATATTTTTATCACGATTTTTTAAAGATTAATCCAATCACACGAATTGAAAATTAAATCTTTTTTGTATTAGATATTTGGGAATAAAAAGGTTGGCCCCATATCTCCTAAAAGTTTGATATAATACAAAGTTTAAAAATGACTAATATTGGGATAATATTTTACGATAAAAAATTTAGTATTAAAAATAAATCTTTATCGATAGATAATCATCTCAACTTGTAATCTTAAATAAAATAGACAGATAATAACAAAGCTAAATCAGCAAAAACTTGAAACTTTCATGTGGCGCTCAATTTTGCTCACCCATTGAATTTGTACCTATTTTTTTAAAAAAATTATTTGACACTCAATTTTTGGGTAACTTGGATACATATACCTTTTTATTCTTCTTTACTGCTTTCTTCTTCTTCTTCTTAGTTCCAAAATAAAATTGTTAAATTTATTATTATTTTAACAATTTGATAATTGAAATATTCAAAAATTATATTTTAAATTTGAGCTCATTTGAAATAGATTTGGGCATTGGATCGTGTGTTGGATTGTTAAAATTCGAATAACAAGTTTATGTTTCAGAACTTAAGAATCAAAATCTGAAGTTGCATTGAAGAGATTGAACTACTTAACATTCAAATTTCTGAAGTTGCATTTCTTCAAATTTAATTGCATTGAAGAAATTGAACTACTTAAGACCCAAATTTCTGAAGTTACAGTTGAAAGATAGAAGATTTTTAGATTTGATTTCTGAAGTTTCGTTAAAGAGATTGAACTACTTCAGTTCTAGCGAGTACACTTTGCAAAAATTTATGCAATGCAAATATAACTTCAATGGTAGCTCTAAAAATGAGTATGTATGAAAATGCTCCATCAAATGCCTGATGTATTTACATATTTGAAAAGGATAATAAATTCATATATCCCAACAGAGAATGTTCCGATTCGAATTGATGTCACTATAGGAGTAGGACCATCTACTAGTATCATAGCTAATGAGTCCAAAGCACGCCTGAAGCGTAGCAGACTATTGGGTCCTAATGATCGAAATCCTAGAAAAAAGAAATACATGGTCAAGATGACGCTACAAAAGAATCTCATAAAGAAATCTAATATTTGAAGAATCCCGAGATTCGTGAAGAAATCAATGAGCCCGAGACTCAAGAAAATGAGAAACTATCAATAAATTCAATTGATGTTGAATCATGATAAAATAAAAATATTGTAGACGAAAAGTAAAGAGAGAAGTAATTTCTTATTATCTTCTGGGATCATATACCATAAATAAAATTCCTCTATTTATAGAGAAAAATTAACTTAGCCACAAAGTTTCAATGACTAATATTTCTCTAAAATGACTTAGCCATAAAGTAATAATACTTAATATTTCTCTAAAGTAATAGATATTCACTATAGATAAAATACAATTTATAACACCCCCTTAAATGTATATTTAATAAATAAGGTGTAAATCTTTACTAGAGAAAAATCCGCAAAATTCATATATCCCAACAGAGAATGTTCCGATTCGAATTGATGTCACTATAGGAGTAGGACCATCTACTAGTATCATAGCTAATGAGTCCAAAGCACGCCTGAAGCGTAGCAGACTATTGGGTCCTAATGATCGAAATCCTAGAAAAAAGAAATGCATGGTCAAGATGACGCTACAAAAGAATCTCATAAAGAAATCTAATATTTGAAGAATCCCGAGATTCGTGAAGAAATCAATGAGCCCGAGACTCAAGAAAATGAGAAACTATCAATAAATTCAATTGATGTTGAATCATGATAAAATAAAAATATTGTAGACGAAAAGTAAAGAGAGAAGTAATTTCTTATTATCTTCTGGGATCATATACCATAAATAAAATTCCTCTATTTATAGAGAAAAATTAACTTAGCCACAAAGTTTCAATGACTAATATTTCTCTAAAATGACTTAGCCATAAAGTAATAATACTTAATATTTCTCTAAAGTAATAGATATTCACTATAGATAAAATACAATTTATAACACCCCCTTAAATGTATATTTAATAAATAAGGTGTAAATCTTTACTAGAGAAAAATCCGCAAAATTCATATATCCCAACAGAGAATGTTCCGATTCGAATTGATGTCACTATAGGAGTAGGACCATCTACTAGTATCATAGCTAATGAGTCCAAAGCACGCCTGAAGCGTAGCAGACTATTGGGTCCTAATGATCGAAATCCTAGAAAAAAGAAATGCATGGTCAAGATGACGCTGCAAAAGAATCTCATAAAGAAATCTAATATTTGAAGAATCCCGAGATTCGTGAAGAAATCAATGAGTCTGAGACTCAAGAAAATGAGAAACTATCAATAAATTCAATTGATGTTGAATCGTGATAAAACAAAAATATTGTAGACGAAAAGTAAAGAGAGAAGTAATTTCTTATTATCTTCTGGGATCATATACCATAAATAAAACCCCTCTATTTATAGAGAAAAATTAACTTAGCCACAAAGTTTCAATGACTAATATTTCTCTAAAGTGACTTAGCCATAAAGTAATAATACTCAATATTTCTCTAAAGTGATAGATATTCACTATAGATAAAATATAATTTATAACACCGTCTTAAATGTATATTTAATAAATAAGGTGTAAATCTTTACTAGAAAAAAATCCGTAGAATTTTCTTTTAGTGAAGGAAAAAAGTAGGAAAAATACTAGCTATGTCCATTTATAAGTGGCATATTATAAAAATTGGTCAATTCATAAAATATTACTAATATCAACCAATTAGCTATTTATAGCAAAAAAGAAGTCAAATTTTTGTGTTCTTTTGAGTGATTGTTATTAGAATAGATTTGGTACATATTAAGGAGCTTGAATCTTAGCTTTGGGATGATTTGGTGGAGTTTTGAGGTGGATTGAATTGAAAAATTCAAAATAGAAGATGATCATGAAAAAATGATATATGTATCAGATATGTATCATATTTATATCAATTGTGTATCACATGTATGTCCCCATGTATATCTACGTATGAGATACATGCGTGATACATGTTTGATACATATGTCGCATAAGGAATTTTTGAACTCGAGTTTTAATGACGAATCTTGATACCAATTCAGTCCAAATCACCTAAGTTTTTCTCAAATTTTGTATATTGATTCATCTATATGTTTTCAATGAATCCCAAACATACCCATTGAAAAATGTCCTTTTTTGCTTAGATTTTTTGAATCTTGTATATATATNCTTTTTCGTCTTGTATCTAATATTGCTAATTACACTTAAAATATGGAAAGAGATCTTTGTGTGTGATTTTGTAAAGAAATAACCTTATTTCTTTGGATTTTCAATTTTTATATGTCCTTGGCTAGTTTTGATAAGTATAATTAATGGCTAGAAGTTGATAAGTTGGAACTTTTTTGGGACATTTCTGTAAGATTCCCAAAAAAATACACTTATCTAATGGTACGCTTTTTGGGTGAAAATAGCTAGAACGGATAATAACAAGAAGAATCCCTAATGACAAAGCTGTCACTGAAAACTTTAGCACGGCCTCTTTTCTTCAGCAGGCGGGCTTATTGGACACAAAAACATCAGGGCCCATTTATTCTGTGGTTTGGGTAAGCTCCGAAAAGCAAGGCCCATATGGGATGGAATTAACTAAAAAGAAAAAGTTCAAAATTTGAATCTCCGCTCCAACGGTCACCTTTTCAAGTATATATATGTCCCTCACCTGTCCCATCCCTCTCATTCAGAAAACGCCCAAAAGTAGTACCTAGGCTTCACCATAATCAAAAGATCACATCAATCTTCAATCATTTCCAGTGACAATTCCAATGGATTTCCACAGCCTCACAAGGAGAGAGCTCCAAGCTCTTTGTAAGAAGAACAAAATCCCAGCTAACATCACTAATGTCGCCATGGCTGATGCGCTCGCTTCTCTCGACACTGTAAGTATTTTAATCGAACATCGAAAATATTCATGATATGCTCTTTTGCTTAGTGGATTTTGATGAGTTCGTCTAAAATTAATGAAAATGAACATAACTAGGGCTGCAAATAAAAAATGTGTGTGTTTGTTTTCAACTTAATATTATTGAATTGTATATTTAAGATGTATTGAACGGAACTGATACAAATGAAAGCTGTTTCCAGCTTGATATTTTTGTTGGGAACTCTGTATGTAGAATTCTGCTTTTTACAATTAATTATGCATGAAGGTTAAAGTTCATTTTTCCATTCCATTTATTGTCTTGTCGTCTCTGACTCAATGTTGAAGCTGCTTTCTATAGCTATTATTGCATAGATTAAGTATACATGCAGTGTTTATTTTTTACTCTATCAATGATTTTTAACGTGTAATAACCACTTTTATCAGATTACCAATTACCAAGAGATTTACCTTTAATAATGAGTAATAAATAACCTGATTATGTGAATATTTTTACACTGAAACTCAGTGCATATATGTAATTTTGATATAGTCTGTTAAGGATTATTTGCCAACTATATTAGCGTCAAAACTACTTTTACTAAAATTTGCAAGATTTATTCTTCAAATATCAGTTATCCTACATCTGTTTACAACTATTTGGACAATTTTATTGTTTTGCTTCCGAAGGAGAATTGAGCTTCACATTTATGTGCAGGTCGATGGTATTGAGGAGTTCCTGAATCCATGTGAATCGGAAACTGCAGACTCCGCGTCCATGGTGTCTCCTGAAAAGTCGAAAAAAGTATCAGCGAGTGTACCTTGTACCTCGACTAGGACTGGCGGGAGAGCAAGAGGAACGACGGCCAAAGCTGTCAATGAAGCAAAGGTTGAGATGATTGAGACTCCTGCCTTGCCAACTACCAGAAGAAGAAGGGCTGCAGCAACTTCAGTTCGTTCGAAATTGGAAACCTCAATGAAAGAATGTGAATCAGATGAGCACATTGGTGATCAGGTTGAGATGGAAAAGAAAGAGGTTCCAAAGACACCAGCAGCTGGGCATACTAGCCGAAGAAGGGAAGTGAAGGCAAAGACTTCAGTCACGCAAGTGAATAGCACCCGTCGATCAACTAGGTTAGCTGGGAAAACTGGCTCTGAATCAATCACACAAGAGAACGAAAAATCGGGATCCATTACGTATGATGCGTATTCGGAAGACGATAATGAAAATTTGGAGGTGGACTCTAAGCAGCATTCTAGTCATGAGAATGAAGAATTAGATAGAAATGGTAATATCTGAAATAATAAGTTTCCTTTTCCCTTTTGTGATATACTTTGTTAAGATGCTGTTTTCTCTGAGTTCTGACTGCAACATTGCCACAGGTATTGATTTGAAAGCAGCAGAAGAGAGTTTGGATGTCGATAAAGCTTCAGAGATTTTATCAGTTCAAGATTCAAATGTCTTGGTAGAAAACTTAATGGAAGTGGAAGTTGGTGTTCAAGAAGTAAGTGCCGATAGCCTTGCAGTTGATGTCTTGAACAAAGAAGCAGAAAAGGGCTTGGAGGTAGAAGTACCGTATCACAGTAACAACGGTATGTGTTATTCTCAGGGTATTACCATGAATTCCATGCTTAAAATAGTTTTGGTTCTCCGGGAATATTGATATGTGATAAAATCAGTTGCCTTCTTAGTACAAAAAAGAATGATGAGAATCAATTTTTTCTGTTCATCCATGTACTCCTTTGACAATTACTTGATTCGCTGTCACTGTTGTATATACTTCTCATTCTTCCCGTTAGTTCCAACCAACTACTCCTTGCTTTGCTGCCATTAAAAGAAATTAACTGTTGCAGGGCCTGAAGAAGTATATGCAAAAGAAGATAATGTACTTGAAAACGGGATTCAAATGGTTTCTGGCGAAGAGGAATCTGGGGGTCTGCATTCTAAAATGATGGACGTTGAGCTCCTTGAAGATAGCGGTAGGGCTAAAGTAGTTATTTGTATTTCTCTTGTGACCTACTGCACATTTTTGTTAGAATGCTATCATCTTCATAGCACTTTATGACATGATATCTCAATTTTGCAGTTGTTGATGCATTCAACTCTGAGAATGAGAATCAAATTGAGTCCATGAACGAAGTGAACGGAAATAAACAAATAGAAGGATCTGCTGCAAAGGAAGTGAATGATGGAGAGGGAGAAACAAAAGACGAAGATATTCAGAACAAAAGCCAGGAGTTGACCCAAGAAAATCAACCCCACTGGGACGAAATCTTTGATTTTGAGGAAGATAATGTTGCAGAGGAAAACCATGATGATGAGATATATGAATGTGAAGTGGATGATGGAACAGAATCTAATTCTGACGATGCAGGAGAAGGAGAGTTGATGGAACACAAGAAAGAAAAGGGGGAGATAAATGTTAGTGGAAATCTTCAGTGTTTGAAAGATGTTTCAGAAGCTAATGTAGAGCTTCCTGGAGACAAACTGATGGACAAATCTGAAGTTGACGGTGATGAGGCTGATGTGGATAATACTGCTGCTGCTCCTCTTTTCCCCTTGGTTTCTCTTGTTCCTAATGCCAATTCAATGGGAGAAGTTGAAAGTTTTAATGCAGAAACTAACTTGGATGTTCTTGATATGAATTTGTTCGGGCAGTTGAACCGTGAGATGGAGGCTAAGGCGAGTGAAGGTCTTCATCTTCTGAAAGATGTTTCAGAAGCTAACATAGAATTTGCTGGAGAAGAACCCATAAAAGAATTTGAAGCTGATGATGCACAGGCTGATTTGGATCCTGCTGCTCATTCCCCTGTGGCTTCGCCTATACCTAATGCTGCCTCAAAATCTGTCTCCACTTTGATACTGGAACCAGTGCATATTCCGTCTGCCTCGACAACAGTGAACCCTGTTCTCATCACAGAAACAAGCTGTTTGACACCAGTGAAGATATCTTCAAGCAAGACACCAATGAAGAAGTCCATGAGCAAAGCATCAGCAGCAACAAAAGTGGCTCAGATCCACGATGACAAGGAGAATATAGATAACAGTGGCAGAAAATTCGTCCTGACAAAAGAGAAGTTGAAGAAAAACAAAAACAATGCTGGCAATAACAGTAAGCAATCCTTGCAAGATTTAAGCTTGAGGCAGCTTACAAAAATGTTGAAAGAGATGCATATTTCAAAAGATCCTAAAATAATGGATAGCACTAACACAAAGGTGAGAAATCCCTTCTTCATTCCTTAATTTTCTTGAATCCGTCATACTTTTTCAGGTAGCTATTAAATGTTAAGAGAGTATACTAAAAATGTTTTTCATTTGCAGGCGGCAAGTTCAAGACCAGCTTTGCAGACACTTCCAGAAAATCGCTTGATGGGTGAAACTGAGAAGTGAGGCTTACAAGGCAAACCATTTTGCCATACATTAACTTAGAGAGTGGAATGATAGAATATAACTAGTCTTGCAAACCTTCTTGGTTTGCCCTTCAGAGATGTATCAAAATTGTGATCGCTCTTATTTATGCTTCCTTTGAGTTTATGAAAACTTATGAAGTTTATTCTAGTAATCGTGATCGTAATTCTCTCTAGTTTTCCTCTCTTATTGCACTTTATCAATTAAGCTGGGTCTATTTGCGGAATAGTTGTGATCAACCTGCCTCACCAACAACTTCTTGTTGGACATAGTAACTGTTAGATTATTGTCAAATTGGTGAAACTGAATAACCTAAATGTACTAACTGAACTGAAACATGATCCCCACGAGAGGTATCTTTCATCTAGCGTATTCCATACTCTTGGCAAAGATCCTGAATGGTCACTAAAGTTTTAAATTCTCCATTAGACTGGAGTTCTCCAAATAGCGTATAACGATCCTAATGATTGAGTCATCAGGATTCTAATGATTGATATGAACATTCTTAATAATCCTAGGATTTGGCATGGCAGTGTGGCGAAACACATATGGCACAAATGGTTTTTAACACTTTCTTTACAGCTTTCAAATGGTCCATTTCTGGACTACTTTGTGCAAACATTCCAACAACAACACTAGTGTTTGGCCTCTCAGATACCTCCGTTTAGTTGTCCACTCTTCACTTTGCACTCCATAAATGAAATATATATTTTACAATTTTACCCATAATAATTATAATAGTATTTTCAGAAGTATTGGGGATTGAATAGTTAATGATAAGAGTAAAAGAGGAAAAAAAGTTATCTTTCTCTTGATTTAGTATAGGGGACAAGTAAAAGTGAAAATGTATTTGTAGAATAGTTGACAAGTAAAAGTAAGCGGAGGGAGTATGTTTGCTAGGAAAAATAATCACAACACAAAATTCTACTTAAAATGATATGGTGTATGGTTAGCGCGGGATTAAAAATAAATAATATCGGCATAACTAATGTGTTTGATTGCTTGAATAAGAAAAAGTAATCCTAGCCTAGGAGTAAATTCCTTGGATGGTCACCCAACTTATGAGATTATCATACCAAAATCACTTTTATTTATTTTAGGACAACAAAGTTACCAAACAACAACATACCCAGTATAATCTCACAAGTGAGGTCTAGGGATGGTAGTGTGTATGCAGACCTTACCAATATCTGAAGAGGTATAAAAGTTGTTTCCGATAGACCATTGGCTCAAGAAGAAGAAGAAGAAGAAGAAAGAAAGAAAGAAAGAAAGAAAGAAAGAAGAGGGAGACAAAGGACGATAAGGAAAAATGGGGAAAAAAGGGAAGCCGAAAAAGAAAAAGTAGCATCAAATAGTAACAATCAGGGAAATATGATACTCGAAGCGAATGAGATAATAGGCAAATACTAGAGATCAAAGAATACGAAAATACCAGAGTACTACTAATATTACTAGTAAAGAACGGAAATTCTCAACTACCTACTAGCCTTCTACCCTAATCCTCGACCTCCACACCCTTATATCTTGGGTCATGTTCTCAGTAAGCTGAAGTAGCGCCATGTGCTGCCTAATCACCTCTCCCTAATAATTCTTTGGCCTACCTCTACCTCTTCTCAGACCCGACATGGCCAACCTCTCACACCTCCTAAAAGGATCATCTGTACTCCTCCTCTTCACGTGCTTGAACCATCTCATCCTCAACTCTCGCATTTTGTCCCCCACGGGGACTATTCCCACTTTGTCCCGAATAACTTCATTCTTAATCGTATCTCTCATGGTATGCTCACACATTCATCTTAGCATCCTCATTCATGCTACTTTCATCTTCTTTTGAACATCCAACATTCAGCTCCATACAACATAGTAAGTCTAACCACCACTCTGTAGAACCTACCCTTAAGTCTTGGTAGCATATTTTTATCACATAAAATACTGAGTGTGAGCCTTTGTTTCATTTACCCTGCACCAATACGATGAGAGACCTTATCGTCAATCTCACTGTCACCTTGGATTATAGACCCGAGGTATTTGAAACTACCCCTTCTCAGGATGACTTGAGTATCAAGCTTCACATCCACGTCCGCTTCATGAGTCCTGTCACTGAACTTGCACTCCAAGTATTTCGTTGTGGTCATGCTCAACTTGAGACATTTAGACTCTAGGGCTTGTCTCTAAACCTCCAGCCCACGTCTCAGCAATCAGCACTATGTCATCAGCAAATAACATCTACCATGACACCTCCCCTTGAATGTACGCATCAACACATCCATCGCCAAGGTAAATAAGAATGGGCTAAGAGTCGATCCCTTGTGCAACCATATCACAACTGGAAAGTATTTTGAGTCACCTCCTATATTCATCACCCAAATTCTAGCACCATCATACATGTCCTTGAGCACAGTGTAAGCTACTGGAACGTTTCTAACCTCCAGACATCTCCACAGAACCTCCCTCGGGACTTTATCATACGCCTTTTCTAGGTCTTTAAACACCATATGTAAGTCCTTCTTCCTCTCCCTATATTGCTCTACCAATCTCCCACTGAGAAAAGAAGTCAAGGAATGAAGCCGCTTCATCAGATGAATGGCTTCCGTAGTCGATCTCCCCAGCATGAATCCAAATCGATTCTCGAAAATAGACACACTCTCCTCACCCTAACTTCTACCACCCTCTTCTAAACTTTCATAGTATGACTAAACAGTTTGATACCCCTATAGTTATTGCAGTTTTGGATATCACCCTTGTTCTTGTATAACAGAATCATCGTACTCCACCTCCATTATGACAGAAACTAAAGGTCCACAAAACTATATAGAGAACTTGGTTCCCTATTAGTTCCCATAGAACACACACACACATCAGTACGTAAATAACATAGTGGAGCTTTACGTGGAAAACTCCCAGCTCACGAGATTAAAAACCATGACCTACACTCGTAGGATTTCAACATTACTACTGAGCAAACTTCAGATTACAAACTATTGTAACCTAGGAATTAAACTCTTAATCCCTTACTCACTTGTAATAACTCTATTACAAGCCCCTTTGTAATAACTCCATTACAAAGCTTACAACTCGACTAACTCTAGCCAAGACACAGATACAAGGTTTATGGTTTACAAAAGGTTTCCTACACAATGCTTCTAGCTAAGCTAAGTAGGAATTACAAGTAAATCACTTTAACAAAGGTGCAACACAACTAATGACATATAATAACTCAATGCAGGAAACTGGTCCTTTGTTATGTTGTTCTCTATGCTTTGAGCCCTAAAAGTCACTTGCAAGATCGCCACACACTTGAGAGGAAACTTGATTAATTCTGGAAATGTGCAAGAGTGTGTTTTTCCTTTGTTTCATGTTAATATTACCCAAGTGATGTCACTTGGATGATGCAAGCATATTTGGTACAAGGGCATTCCCCATAAAGTGATTGTTGCACTGTTTGCCTTATTGCATGTGTGCAGAGGAACAGTTACAGCAACTTTACAGCTGTGGGGAGTTGACTGGTACGGTCAGCAAGGGAACTGATATCCATCTGTTCCCTTTGTCGTTTCCTTGACTTTAATTGTTGGAATTTGTGCCCGACTTGAGACTTATTGTTTTTGAGCACTTTGAGATGTGTGAAAGGTTCCCGATATGGCTCTTATCATTAAGTTTGTTAAATCATCAAAATATAATAAGAAACATAATTAGGGCTCTCATTTGTGAACAAGTGTGTCAACTGCTGAAATTCACAAATATCAACCAGTTAGTGCATCCCTGTCATGTCAAGAATATCAGGGGCAAATATGGCAAATGTTATATCCCTCAGCACCCTCTGTTTTCTCAGGTTTTCTCTTCATTCATCCTTGGCCACACCCACCTTGGCCTTCTTGGAGGAACCAGGTTCCTCATTGTCACCAGCCTTCTTTTTCACAGACTTTCTCACACTTTTCTCTTTCTTTGCAGATTTCTCAGACAGTTTCTTACCAGACTTCTCAGACACCTTCTCCCCAGACTCTTCTACCTCAACATTTTTCATAGATGACTTTCTCCTCAATCTTGGAATTGCAGGTTTCTTAGAGGACTTACGAATTAAGGAATCAGGTTCCTCATTCTCCTCTTCATCAATATCAACAACTAGTGCTGGAGGCACTTCCTCTTCATTCACCTGTTTTCCACCCTTTACCGACCTTCTTTTCTTCTTCTCTTCTTTGTTTTTCTTCAGAACTGACTCAAGTGCTTCCTTCTATTGCAGTCTAGTAGTAGGTCTTTTAAGAGTGGGCTCTTTGGGAGTTGCCCTTATACTCCTAGCCGCAATAAAGCTTGCAACATACACATTGTCATAATCCTCCTCATTGTTCTCATTTTTTCCCCCATAAAGAGATTTCATCTCAAGAAAAACCATGGTTAATGGCTCAGCATCAAAGTGAGGGGAGGGAGCAAGATTAGTATTGACCTGGGCTCTTTTGAAGAGTGAGGAGTTTCATCCCAAGTAGGAGTAGAGGGCTCCTCTTGGGCTGAGGGATCAGGTCCCTCATTTGTTTCCCCAGTAGTACTGTCTAGTGCCAGATTTTCAACGGGCACCAGTTCCCTACCCTCTTCCACCAGTTTCCTACTCTCTTCTTGAGGACCTTCACCTTCCTCACGAGACCTAATGGTCTCATTGACACCCTCATAACCACCAACCAAACTCCCCTCAGCAACGATTAACAACATATTTTCAGTGGCTTCTTATTGATTTAATCCCAATGTAGATTCAGAAGACACAAGAGGAATATTACCTGTAGGTTGGCGATGTTCAAATTGAAGCTTGGAATGGTCGTTGCTAAACCTTCACTACTACGAACCGCATCCTATTGGGTCTTAGTGCTCTCTTCAACTTTCTGACTAGAGACTTCCCGACCCTCATCTCCATCTACTGTTTCTCCCTCTGCTATTTTTTCCAGCGAGGCAAAAGGAGAGATTGCAGCAACAAACTTTTTGGGGTTCTAAGTCTTATGACTTCGGTGAGAACCAGAACTTGATTGGGTTGGAGAGGAAGTAGCAGGTGGTTGGGGGTTTGGTGTAGGGTTTTGACTAGGTGACATAGGGGACTCAGACTCTCGCTCCTGTGCTTCGTGAGGCGAAGACACAGTGGGGACTATACTGAAAACGTTTGAGGCTTCTAGATTT